ACGGTTTTCATAAATGCTATCGTTGGAATTATTTAATATTTAATTGTATAATGGATGATAAATATTCAGGCCGCAGTCATTGTAAAAATTTTTTATTAGTGCCGACGGTTCTTTCCTTCAATAATTTAATTGTATAGATTACAGCAGTATAAAAATTAAAATTTGTATATACATACATACAGTAATTAAACGAATAAAAATGTCCACAATGAAATGTAAATAAATATAGTGTCTATAATTTTTACTTTTACTTCCCCTTTGTCTGAAAATACTTATTCCTGCTAAAAAGAGTAAAAGTTACATAAGTGAAAGTCGTGTGATGCCCCCACCAGATTTTATTCTTCAAACTAAGCAAGAGATTAATTAAAAACCTCAATTTCTTCATTTTAATGCTTACACCATTCTGCTTTAACACTGTTAAAATGTGTAAAAAGAAACTTTCAGACAATGGAATAAATCAAAATTCTTTGTATTGAACAAAATTTTGATTATCATGAATCCTTCTGCATGAACTGTTGGATCCGGTCCTCCACCAAGTTCATGTTAATAATTATAAAGCTCAAAGATTCAGCCTATTCTGGTTTTTAATACCAGGTAGAATGGGATACTGTGATTTGAATTCATGCTTTGCCACATAATTTTTTCTCTGATGGATATTTGAAAATTGCAAATATCATTAAAGTTGCATTAAAGAAAAGTGGAAGAGGCAAGACAAAGTGGTTGAGTTTATTCATCACACTGATAGAGCATAATTAGAACAATCCTATAATTATTGAGTTGGTAAAACGTTTTCAGCTTCAAAATTTGTATTCATGAAATATCTTTTAATATTTTTTCACTCTCTCCTTGAGTGAAATATTTTCTTTGAAATATGTTTTATTACCACTCAAATTTTCACCATTATTTTTTCTTTGAAGTATCCCATTGTGATTCTTTTTTTTTGTTAGTATTTATTTGTTACATATTTATGGGCATATAAGAGTAAAACAGTACTATTATTCATTGCACATCTGTTATAGGATATAAAATTTACTTATTATAATACTTTTTTTTTTTAAATGCTAATTAACTTATGTTGACACATTTATTGAATTATTATTTAATTTTAATATTAGGTGCTTCACTCGCTCTAGGGGGAGGGGGAAATGGGTTGTTATGACTAAGGCCGACCGGCCACCGAAAGCACAGCGGAGCTGTGAGCTGAGCGCAGTTGAGCGGTGTAGCAAGAGTCAGCTCAGTTCAGCTTTGGGTCTACCAAGATTCGGTTTTGGAAGCTGACTCCCCTAGACTCAGCTTCCATCATCACATCTACTCAACACTGTCACACAACCGTGGGGCTTTGTTCCTCAGTGTCATCCTTTTTTTCCGCTCATTTTCACTACACAACCTCTCAAATTATTTTATTTTGGTTCAGTGTAAAATATGCTATGGATGTGGAAGAACTCTTAATCGAATGTGTAAGGAAACATATTTCATTTTCTAGACAAATATTCGGTTTTTCTTTTCTGCTCCGATATGATCATCTCTGCTGTTTTTAAAAATATTATATATATGCTGTATGTATACTTTTTGTAAATATCATCCGCTTGTTTTCACTGTACAACCTCTCAAATTTTTTTTTTTTTGGTTCAGTGTAAAATATGCAATGGATGTGAAAGAATTCTTAATCAAATATGTAAGGAAAAATATTTGATTTTTCTTTTCAACTTTGGCTGTATGTTATATATGCTATATATTTTTTTAAAAAATGTTACACGGAATATGAGAAGGATACCATTGCTGACTGAGCTCATCTCTGTTAAGCAATTGGTTGCTGACCTCTCTTGCTATGCTCATTTCAGCTGCTTTTTCGGTGGCTGGCCAGCCTAACGATTAATTTCTGCTTCTTATCTGAGCTATTCATGTTAATTTGGTTGATTATCATCTTATATTTTTGGTAATAAAATCAGAAGCTACTTTATTCTTCCTATAATTCTATGGCAGACAAACGAATATAATTTCAATTTAATTTACTTATTTAAATAGAAACAATAGTTATATCTTCTGTTAAATCTTTAAATATAGTGAAATAGAAATGACTTTAAGAAGAAGAAATCAAAGTGGCTCACTTTTTATTTTATTACATTACATCCGGGTTCTCCAAACTTTTTAGTCTGTGAGCCACTTTGAAACCTCCACTAAGTCCCGTAGGTCATGACGTATGATAAAATACATTAATTTTCAATCTTCAATCTTAAAAATACATTAAATTTCAATCTGAAAGTCAATGATCGATGTTACTGATACTTCTCAACGTTTTTTGTTCATTTTCTGTAATAATAATTTAGGAACTTATAATTGGTTTTAAAAATCAAAACTTTTTTTGTTCATCCATCAATTTTATTTTTTTAAATATCCTATTAATTTCATGTTATACTATGATCTTCATTTAAAATTCTCTAAAAACAGATCAAAACTTTTTTTTTTAGTTCACAAACACTTAGTTTCTATAAAGTCAGCCTGTACTTGCTTTTATTTATTTTATATATTTTTGCTTTGATAGTTTTTAATAGATTTATACTCTCTGAAAGAGGAGTTGAAGGGCACATTCCGTGTTCAATCATGTTTTGTTAACTTTTTTTTGTAATGCCTTTGACACTTTTTGTTTTACATATATTGTAGATCTTTGCTGATCTGAACCAGCCAAGCAAATAGTACATTTACAATGGGAGCAATTGTATTAAATAAATTTTCACTACTTTGAACAATTTCCTGATTCCTCAGTTAATACACACTAATAACTACCCATTTTAATCCTGAAAGAAGTTTCCAAAGAGAAGAAAATGGAGACCACTCTGAAGGTTGCGAAAGAAATTTATTACATCGAACGAGTGAAACTGAAGCGATAAGGGATAATAAATTGTAAAACTTTATTGGCAAGAGCATAATAAATAAAAAAATGCATATTAACATTTATGCATAACCAGCATTATATGTTAATGTTTCCAAAAAGCAATAAATAACATCTTGAACTACTTAAAATTAATTGTCGAAGGTATAGGCAAGATAATTAATTTATTCACAAGTTCAACTAGGTGACCCTAGCTTAATTTCCATTATTGTACAAAAAAAAAAGATGTAATTAATTATAAAAATTAGTATGATTCATCTACTTTTAGTAATTCTGATTTTCAAGCTCATCATATCTACTCTGACTCGTAAAATATATTAGTTTGTTCTGAATAAGCAACCTTATGTTTCAGTAATTTATTAAATTTTACATTTAGTAAACTATTTTGAAATCTCAATATAGTAATCAAAGCAACACAACTTACATGAGCCGAATTGGTTGCGATCGTGGGCCATAGTTTGGATAACTCTGCATTAAATTACTGGCCTGACAAGCGCATGAAGCAGTCTTTGATCTGCTCAACCTCTCTGCTTCAGTTGTCCTGAAGTCAGCTTGAGTGATGGAGGTCACATGTTCTCATATCCTCAAAGAAGGTATCCTGGCATCTAGCTTTTGTTTTTCTGCAAAGCTTAATATTTCCCTTATAATTCCACTTTTTTAATGTCCCTGAGCATAACTGTGTCAGACAAATGCTGAGATCTCAGAGCTGTTCAAGGACTGCGATATAGTGCCCTTCATCAGGGTTGGTTGGCTCAAGTATGCTGGGCAATTAGCCATGATGATTGCTGACTCGATACCAAGGAGGCTCCTTGAAGAGGAAATCCACATCACCAGAAGGGGTGGACAGCCCAGGCTATGATGGGTGGATAGCGTAACCAAGGACGCATGCACCATTCTGGAGATCCGAGATTGGTGCATGCATTGAGATGCACGGAATTGAGATGAAGGGTGGACCTTGCTTAAGATGGCTATGACCCCTCGCGGGTTGTAGAGCTATGGAAGAAGAAGATACATAACTGTATTGAATAGAAAATGTACAAGTGAGTCTCCAAGTCTTAGACCTATCTAGAAATTGATTTTTTCTGTAGTTGATCCATTTACCCTTATGCTGCAGTTTGTGTTCTTTATTGTGCCCGTTTTTAGTCTCATTAGCTTGGCTGGCTGGGATGTTAATTTCTTTCATATCATATTTTTTTTATTATGGTATGTTATACAATTATTTTTCGATAATTCTGTGAATATTTTCCTTTGTATTTAATATTCACACTATGAACTAAGAAATTCACCTTTAGTTGGATTCTGCTGCATTTATTATATCTTTTTTCTGTAATTGAATAATCTCCTAGCTACCTGTACACTACATTTTTCCATTTTTAGTTAGGTGATGACTTAAGTATTATCACTGTTTTTTTTAATTGGAATAAAGTTTAATTGTCTGCCATAGGGGAGGAATATCTAAACTCATAGCAAGATCTGATTATTTTCATTTATTTAAATTTGATATGTATTTTCAGAGATCGGTCAATTGAATCGGTTTTGATATTTATTATGTTTTGTTTTATTTATTTATTTTAAAAGCTGATCTTTTAGCTCAAGTATCGTTTCCATTTTCAGGGCTAGAGCAATATGCTCATGCACATAAATCAATTATGTAGACTAATCAACTGATCCCCATAAAAAAGAATCATTATAAATCATAAAAGTCAACCACTAATTACTTCTGCTTTATTTTTAATTGTCTTGTTACTTCTAAATATGAAAAATCAACTCTAATCAGATATGTGATTCTACAGAAAAAAGAAGAAAAATATTCAAAGCAGTTTTATTGGTTAGATAGCTAAACAATTTTAAGGAGGAGATATATTGGATACCATAGATCAATCCAGTTGAAACTTGGTATTAAAGGTTTTTTTTTTTTCATAATTAGCAATAATTTTCCGGGTCAATTTTCAAATGCAATCACTGAATTAGCTGAAGGCTAGGACACAACTTAGGACCTAGTTGCTTGCTGCGAACCCACCCTAAGAGCGGGTAGAGCTAATTGTTTAAGTTATTTTATAATTTATGAATAGTTATGATTATCTTTCTAATATAAATGTTTTTGTTATAGTCTGATGGGGAAAGTTCAGAGCCTGATATAAAGAAGATACGATATAAAGAAGAACCTTAATTTTGTAAATAGTTTCTCAATAACCAAAATCGATTCCATTCGCGCTAACTAAATGCTGTATATTTTTGTAAAAGGAGTTTGTTGAGTAGGGTTGTACATCGTTGTTGCAGCCGTTTCCTATGCGTTATGAACGAACATACTACAAGTCTGCATCATTTTTTGTTTATTTTTTACAAATGTAAATTATGTTTTAGGTCGTAATGAATTTTTATTGTTTGAGGTCGAGGTGTATGCCAAGATTTGATTTAGTTGTTTTTATTATTGGTAAAAATGTTATTTAAATGCTGCTATCTATGAAATGAAAATAATTTTTTGTAATTTATCTATTTTTCTTCCCGTTTTCTTTATAAATATATATTATTTCTCAAAAGCATATTTATCATGAATCATTTTACAAGTTTTTTTTTTAAATATGTTATACATATACCATTATATGACTGATTAATACCAGGAAGAATGTTGATTGTGAAGGAATTTTTTAACTTCCTCTTCTGGAAGATGAGGAAAGTCTTGGATTTCATAATTATAAAATAGTTTTAATTATTACTGAGAAATGTAGATAAAAACATTTTTTTTATTAATGGCATCTAAATCAGTAGCTAGGTACTGTAACTGAATGCCCTGATATGTATAGCTTTATTTTATTTTTCACTCTTAAAATGTAATAAATTTTACTTGAGTGGGAAAGGAAGCTGTAGATAAGAAATTGCATTGAAACATTTTAACTGGTGTTTGTTTATATAATTTAACTTGATTATATGCGATGTTAAGGATCTCTGTGGATAATGTAATGAAGTTTAACTTTAATAACTTTTAAATTTAGTTATAAAATAAAATAAGATAATGGTCTGATTAATTGATAGAACAAGCACCTGCACAATCACCAGTTTTCTGTCTTGTGACAAGAACATTACTGCACTTTTTATTATTAATAAAGCCTGTGACAGTCCTTTTAAGATTTAACATTGTATCATATTAGTCTTTTGTATGACATTTTTATTTTAAATGTTTTCCTTTGCATACTTATTATGCTTATGATATGAACTGTTTGTTGATAGTGATTTCAGAGCCTATTGTTGATTTTTGTTTGTATTTCCTATATTATTATCATGAACTATGCATCTCTGATGAATTTAAATTTTTAGAGTAATAATTTGTTTTAAAAATGTATTTATTTAAATTTCCTTCTCCAGTCTGTTACATTCTCCACAAAGCTGACAGATATCAGCATCTAAATAAATATTTGAACTGTAAGAATAATTGTTCTTTTTAGTACCTTGTTTATTGTTTTTTTGTTTGTTTATTTTTGATTTCCTATTTATTATATTGATTCATTGTTCAATATAAGGTGAAAATACAATGTATTATATATATATATATACACATATATTTTTTTTTTAAATACTAAAATGATCATTTCTTTGTTTCACCCTTTTCCCTTAGTTATATCTATTTATCTGTTTTAATTCACTCATTTGTTATTTGTTTTAAACACTCATTTGCAAACAAAGTGAATAAATTACAATTAAAAAGAATCTTTTTTTTCTTGAATGATATTAATTTATACGTTTGTTTTCTTTTTAGAGTTAGAGGTAGGTGGAAGGAAAAAAATGTGTTCAGTGCAACCCATGAAGGGTCTTGGTTTCAGTATTTTTTAAGGCAGTACGGCTTCTAGGGCAATGGTTGTGCAAGGTGGTGATATGGCCAAGATCACGCTCAACCTACAGGTTTTTCCCCTTAATCAATTAATTAAATTAAGAATACCTATTTTATTGAGGCTGCTGTGCCTCATGAGAGTTTCTATACCCCCCAGGTCCAATCCCCAGATTGGAGAGGATCAAGTTGGTTGGACTTTTCGAGGAAATTGGAAACTTGGGATTGTACCAATATTTCTAGGGGTTTTGAGAGTTTGGAAAGAATTGAGATTGGGCGAAAGTCTTCGGGAGAGGATGGATTAGGCTTTTTATTTAAAGGGAGTACAATAGCTTTTTTCCAAGAGGAAGGGAATATTGAGTTCTGTAGGGAGAAATTGTAGATGAAAAGGAGAACTGGGAGGATTTCGGGGAGACATAATTTTATCAATTTGACAGGAATGCCATCTGGAATTGGTCCTATGGAATTGGTGTGGGATTTCATTACTGCGGTTAGTAAGTCAGTCGGGGAAATGTCGGAGAAATAAAAGTCATCATCAATGATGACTCAGGAGCAAAGTTGGAAGAGGAGAGGTAGAGGAGGCAGAAATAAAATGTGAATTTAAATCGTCCGGTGAAACGGAAGAAACCAGTGAGGAAGGGGATCTGGAAGGTTCACAGAGGGAAAGTTTGCGAAGGATTAACCATTTAGATTTGGGATCTGGGGCAGATGGAAGTAGGAAGCTTTAGCTCGCCGAATTCTTGTTAGTGTCAAATTGAGCACCCTAAACGCCTGATAGTCATCTGTAAGCCTGGTACGTACGGGCAGCATCACGCCTCTTCTGCAGATCCTTAATTTCTTGACACATCCAAGGTGCAGGCCAGCTGCGAAAGGTTAAGGTTTTTATGGGAGCATGGGTGATAAGGATATCGAGGAGATTGGAAGTCAGGATCTCAACCATGGAATCGATGGAGGAGCAGGAATATATTTCGTTCAAGTCTAAGGCTTCAAGGTCAGGTAGTATTTTTTCACGGGTGAGAGTGTCTATCTGACGGAAAGTGACGGTTCTCGGATGAATCAGAGGGGTTTGGATATTATATGTTATTAGGATCATGTCGTGAGAAGATAAAAAGGATACTGGCAGTTGAGAAGAGGAGAGGAGATTTAGTTCAGAGTCTATAATGAAGAAATCTAACCAAGTGTCGGCCTTGTGGGTATGGTGAGTAGGATAAAAAGGAACAATAAAGAGATGGAGGGAAAAAAATAGGTTTTCTAGATAGGTTTTGTCTTTGGAATTGGAAAGGAAATTGATGTTGATCACCGGCAATGATTATTCTAGGATAGAGGGGAACAAAGTTGAGTAGATTGGAAGTCAGGATCTCAACCATGGAATCGATGGAGGAGCAGGAATATATTTCGTTCAAGTCTAAGGCTTCAAGGTCAGGTAGTATTTTTTCACGGGTGAGAGTGTCTATCTGACGGAAAGTGACGGTTCTCGGATGAATCAGAGGGGTTTGGATATTATATGTTATTAGGATCATGTCGTGAGAAGATAAAAAGGATACTGGCAGTTGAGAAGAGGAGAGGAGATTTAGTTCAGAGTCTATAATGAAGAAATCTAACCAAGTGTCGGCCTTGTGGGTATGGTGAGTAGGATAAAAAGGAACAATAAAGAGATGGAGGGAAAAAAATAGGTTTTCTAGATAGGTTTTGTCTTTGGAATTGGAAAGGAAATTGATGTTGATCACCGGCAATGATTATTCTAGGATAGAGGGGAACAAAGTTGAGTAGGGTTGATTCTAGGGACGGATCGAATGGAACAAGGGGAGGACGGTAGATCACTGTGTAAAGGAGAGGGGAATTATTACAGGTAATTTCTACTAGAAGGTGCTCCACTTGTGGATGTTCGGAGGGTGGGGAGTAATCAAGGATTCGGGACTTCAGGCTATCATGGACAAATATGGCCACCCCCCACCAGTCCGGCATACCCGGTCGTGGCGGATGAGGGTGTAATTAGGTAAGGAGACAGATGAGGACGGAATATAGGGTTTGAGCCAGGTTTCTGAGATTGCGATGATGTGAAAAAAGTTTTGAGAAAAGTACTGCAGGAATTCATCATAATGGGCGGGAAGGGATTGCGAGTTAACGTGACAGGTGGTTAGAATGCTAGACATGGGGAGGATTTGATGGGAAATAGTCAGAAATTAGCATAGAGAAAATGAGGCATGTATCATATTCTGAAAAAAATTTAAAATAAGTATAAATAAACAAAATAAAAGTGAATAAGTTAAGGAAACTTATAATAGAGTTCGGAGAGTACATTCATACCGTATATACAAAAATATAAATAAATAAGTAATAACAAAAGAATAAGAAAAAAGAACAAAATAATAAAAAAAAATATATAATATATATATATACACTTAAGTAAGTAAAAATAGAAATAAAAGTAAAACAAACATCCTAGATAAAACATACCTATATACATTATTTACAATTAGCCAGGTGATCTCCGAACTAATCCTGTCCCCTCCACATGTGGAGGGAAAAGGGAGGCTTAGGAGATTCCTACGCTTCTCCCTCAGCCACTCCACTGGTATTTAAGACCAGCGGAGGATGAGTAAGAGCGCTACAGCCACAGACACTCATGACTTGAGTGGAGAATCTGGCCATTGCTAGAACTCCAAAATATCCATATTTACAAAAGGTCTCGTGGCCACTGCCGCTTTAATCTACGAATGGGATTGTAGGGATGGGTGGTGCTTGATAGTGATTGTACAACGGGATTTGGGTGATGAGAAAGGTTCTGGTGAAATTTGGAAAATTTGGCTGGGATAATACCGCAGCGCAGTGTGGGCTATGTCTTGTAGAGCTTGGACCAGGTTTCCCTTTCTTGAGCCAACTCTCTTCTTCTACTCCAATCCATACCTCGCTTCCTGAACGCCTCTTGTACACTGTCTTCCCAGGATATGCTATACAGGATACAGGATATATGGGTTTCATATATCTCGCTTTAAGATTTTTATAAATTTGGCAGCCTTTATAATTGGCTGGATGGCCTTCCAGGCATAGGGCACAGACTGCTGGATGATACACCTAAATCAAGAAGAGGACCCGCTAAAATTGTGAACTCTAGGGTTTCTTTTGCCAAGCTACTTGGGGGTAGAGACCCGACTAATGAATGTGAGGCCCTGCCGCAAGAACACACTCAACCCCAATCTCAATATCCTATCCCACCTAATGTACCTAATCAACAACAACCTCACCAACATCAAATCCAATATGTTCCTTCACCTCCTAATGCTACAGATCTAACCAGTTTATTGACATCCTTTCTTTCAGAATTTAAATCCCTTGTTACCCCACTGATATCACTTCTTACTAATCTAGTATCTCACCTTATCCCTCCTTTAAAAAATCCTTAAATGACTTCCATCAAACCCATATCCATTCTCCTTTGGAATGCGAATGGTGTTAGAAATCACATACACGAACTAATAGCCTTACTACAAGACAAGAACGTAGATGTAGCCCTAATAACCGATACTCGAATGACCAAAAAACAGCTCCTAAAAATACCACAATACATAACTTACCGTACCGACCATCCTGATGGTAGAGCACATGCCGGTACTGCAGTCATTGTGCACCAATCCCTCTCCCATCACCTACTCCCACTGCCTACACACGATTTCCTACAATCCACCGCAGTCGTAATCAAAACCTTCTCCTTTCCTACTACCGTTGCATTAGCGTATTGCCCTCCAAACCAATCCATCTCCAATACCCAATTTAGTTCCTTCCTCATTTCCTTAGGACATCATTTCATCTTGGGTACAGACTTAAACGCCAAGCATCAACAATGATGTTCAAGAACCACGAATTCGAAGTGGTCGAACATTGCTGTCTGTACTCAATTCCCAAAATTTTACCCTTCTTCCACCCAACTTACCTACCTACTGGCCCACTGATCCTAACCGTAATCCCGATATCCTCGATTTCTTTATCCATAGTGGTTTAGGTGCTCTCAACCATTCCGTTGCCCGTCTTGACGAGCTTTCCTCAGACCACAGCCCATTAATACTCCAAGTATCACTAGCTCCTATTCCTAAACCCTCTCCTCCGTCCTTCATGAGAGGCCCAGTTAACTGGAAACTCAAATCCTCTCCGATAAAATTGACCTCAGAGTAACCCTGAAAACCCCTGAAGACCTGGACAATGCAGTACATTCCTTCAACACCAAAATTCAAAAAGCAGTCTGGACTGCTTCCTCCCCTGATCACTCCTCAAAAATCCTTAAGAAACATAATTTACCTCAACACCTTCTTCACCTAATCCACATAAAACGCCGTGCCAGATTATTATGGCAACGTACCAGACATCCAGCCGACCGCCACTCCTACAATTATCACTGTAAAAAATTAAAACAAGAATTAGTCACCTTCAGATCCCAATCATTCAATTCCTACCTCACCACACTTTCTGCTCATTATAATTCCCTTTGGAATATCATCAGAAAAATCCTCAAATCCCATCATATTTCCCACCCTCTTCGACGAGGTGATGGCTCCTGGGCAGCATCTGATGAAGATAAAGCCGAGGAGTTTGCCAAACACCTTTCCTATACTTTCGCTCCTCATCCGGAATCCCATCCCACTCTCCTTACCACCTAAAGCTGTTAATCCCTCTGAGATCAAATACCTTCTACGGAAAATAACTCCTGGATTTGACCTTCTAACCCCACAGATCCTTCGACAACTTCCATCCAAATCCATC